TATATATATATATATATATATATATATATATATATATATATATATATATATAAAGAGAGAGAGACTGAGAGAGAGAGAGAGCGGGGGGGGGGGTCATAACCAGCCAAAGCGACAGAGGGAAAGCTTCTGAGTGAGGGAACCCCGGGCAAGAAGGTCACAGGGAGCGAGTCCCCTCATCTGTTCTCTCACTCAAGCAAAAGGGGGGGCGGGGGAGGAGGAGGAGGAGGAGGAGAGGAGGAGGTGGAGAGGAGTGAAGGGGGAGGGAGAGGAGAGGGAGAGGAGAGGGAGAGGAGAGGGAGAGGAGAGGGAGAGGAGGCGAGGGAGGAGCGATGGAGGGGAGATAGAGGGGAGGAGAGGGACGAATGAGGAGAAGGGAGGGGGGGAGGGGGAGGAGGGGCGAGGACTAACAAGCAGCTCGTCCTTCATTTCTGCTTGTCAAACACATCGGAGGGGGAGGGGGTGGAGGAGAGGGGGAGTGAGGGAAGGAGGGGGGAGGGAGGAGGGGGAGAGAAGGAGGGGGGGAATGATTAAGTGGTAAAGAGAGAGAAAGAATAGGTAGGGGATATATGAAGGAGAGAGGGAGGAAGGGAGAGAGAGAGAGAGAGAGAGAGAGAGAGAGAGAGAGAGAGAGAGAGAGAAGAGAGAGAGAGAGAGAGAGAGAGAGAGAGAGAAAGAGAGGAGAGAGGGAGTAGGGAGGAGAAGAGAAAGAGAGAGAGAGAGAGAGAGAGAGAGAGAGAAGGGAGGGAGGGAGAGCGAAGAGAGAGAGACGAGAGAGAGAGAGGACGATGAAAGAGTAGAGAGAGAGAGAGAGGAGAGAGATGAGAGGAGGGGGGGGGGGGAGGAGAGAGAGAGAGAGAGGAAAGAGAGAGAGAGGGGGGGAGAGAGAGAGAGAGAGAGAGAGGGAGAGAGTAGAGACGAGAGAGAGAGAGAGAGGAGAGAGGGAGGGAGAGAGAGAGAGAGAGAGAAGAGAGCGAGATGACGGAGAGAGGAGAGACGAGAGAGAGAGAGAGAGAGAGAGAGGGGGAGAGAGAGAGAGAGAGAGAGAGGAGAGAGAGAGAGAGAGATGAGACGGAGAGGAGGAGAGAGAGAGGAGAGAGGGAGGGAGAAGAGAGAGAGAGATGAGAGAGAGAGAGAGATGAGAGAGAGAGAGAGAGAGAGAGAGAGAGAGAGAGAGACAGACAGACAGAGAGAAAGACAGAGAGAGAGAGAGAGAGAGAGAGAGAGAGAGAGAGAGAGAGAGAGAGAGAGAGAGAGAGAGAGAGAGAGAGAGAGAGAGAGACCAAAAGGTAGACGTAATATAAATAGAAAGAGAAAGAGAGATAAAAGAGAAAGAAAGATAGAAATAAATAAAAGAAAGAAAACAAAAAAGAAAGAAAGATTAAGGGGATAAAGAAAAGATGAAGATAAAAGAGATGAATTAGGGAAAGAGGGAATTAATTGCTAAAAGAAGGAACAGAGAGAGAGAAAAAAATAATATATTTATTCCTTCTTTTCGCTTTCTCTCTGATTGCGCATCTCACGTAACATTTGTTTTTATTTTTTCATTTTTTTAATCTATTCCATTTAGTTATCATGTATTTATCTATTTTGTCCATTTTTCGCATTTGTTTTTTCCATCTATTTCTTTATCAATTAATTCTTGGCATTATCTCTATTTCTCAAGCTCTGTCTATTAATAGGATCTTTTTATTTTATATATATTTTTTTAAGAAGCTTTTCTTTGCACGCAATAAAACAGGCAATAGATATTTAAATGATGGATAAAAAAAGTGGAAAATGCGATTTAATATTGTTGGTTAGGTATATAGATGTATGGATAGATAGATAGGTATATGGACCGGTAGATAGGGAGCTGGGTAAATAGATAGATAGATAGACAGATAGATAAGTAGATATATAGAGAGGTAGGTAGGTAGCTGGATAGATAGATAGATAGATAGAGAGAGAGAGAGAGAGAGAGAGATAGGTAGGTAGACAGGTAGGTAGCTAGCAGGTAGATAAATAGAGAAATAGAAGATAGATAAATATTATATAGGTAAGTAGATAGGTAGCTTGATAGATAGATAGATAGATAGACAGATAGATAAATAGATATATAGGTAGGTAGATAGACAGATAGATAGACAGATATGTAGATACATAGGTAGGTAGGTAGATAGATAGATGGATAGACAGATAAATAGATATATAGGTAGGTAGGTAGATAGGTAGGTAACTAGATAGTTAGATAGATAGACAGATAAATAAATAGATAGATAAGTAGACAGGGAAATAGTAAGATACGATACTCGGAAAAAAAATCAAAGACTCGCTTCTAAATGAGATTTATTTTGATTTTTTTTCTTTGATAGCAACTGCTCAAAGTGGAATCGAAAAGCCATTACTGCCTCCCGAATGCAAATCCAAAATTTATCACGAACCTCAGCTGTTGAATCAGGTCAGTGTCAGTAATTGCACTAAAGTATCTTATTCCATTAAAAAAAAAAAAAAAAAAGAGAAAAAAAGAAAAAAAAAATCTGTTTTATCCAATTCTCTCTTTTTTTTTACTCATATTTTTTGTTTAACTAGTATTACCTTTTTATCATTATTTAACTGCGTTGGTAGTTATTCTATCATGGAATTCCGTCATTTATATAATCTATTCTTCACAGATTATCCGTACTGAAAAATCTTACATTTTCTTTCGAGGTTCACTTATGCATGAATTTGATTGCCATGATCCCTCCCCCCCCCTCCTCCTCCACATCCCCTACCCCCCCTCCGCAGAAGGCATTAGTTACCTCTTCTCCCTTTTCCCCTTTTCCCCTTTTCCCTTGCCTTTCCCCTTCCTCCTGCTCCTTCCCACCTTGTTACCCCTTTTCCTTCCCCCCTTGCCCCTTCCCTTCCCCCCCCCCCTCCCCCCCTCCCCCCCTATCTCAACCTTCTTTGACCCTCCCCCTTTCCTATCCTCCTCCTTCTCCCCTTCCCCCCTCCCCCTCCCTTCCTCCTTTCCCCCTCCCCCCTTCCCCTCCCTCCCCTTCCCCTTACTTCTTACTTCTCCCCCTCCCCCTTCCCCCCTCCCCTTCCCCTCCCCCCCCCCCCCGTGGCATCATTGTTCTAGATAAGAATTCTCTAAAGAGGATCATCTCAGTGACTCGAGAATTGTTTTGGAAAGAGGAAGAGGAAGAGGAGGAGAATAAGCAGCGGAAACAAAAGAAGAGGAAGAAGAAGAAGAAGAAGAAGAAAAAGATGAAGATAATGAGAAAGAAGAAAATGTAAAAAAAAAAGAAGATAATGAGAAAGAAGAAAATGATAAAAAAGAAGATAATGAGAAAGAAGAAAATGATAAAAAAGAAGATAATGAGAAAGAAGAAAATGATAAAAGAAGAAGATGATGGAGTAGGAAAAGAGAAGGAAGAAGATAATGAGGAAAAAGAAGAAAGAGAAAGAAGAGGATAAAGAAGAAGAAGAAAAGGAAGAAGATGAGGAGGAAGAAGAAGGAAAAAAAAGAAAAATGAGAAGAAGAAAAAGAAAAAGAAAATGAATACGAAGAAGAGGAAAAAGAAGAAAAGGATAATGAAGAAGGTAAAGAAAGAGAAAGAAATCGACGTGCTATCGTTATGTCTCATTTACATATTTATTTTCATCTTTCTTCACAATCGGTTCGGTCTCTGCGTATAAACCTGAAAATACATCGTTAGTTTTTTTTTTTTTTTTTTTTTTTTTTTTTTCTTACAGACAAAATTCTAAGAATAAGAAAAAAAGAGAAATACTAATAAAAAAAAAATAATAATAATACGAGGAGAAGTCACTCCCCCCCTCCCCCTCCCCCCAAAAAAAAGAAAACGAAGTACTAATAAAAAAAAAAAAAAAAGAAACATAAATTAAGAGAAATGGCTGACAAAGAAAAGAGAATTTAGAATTTCAAGTAAAAAAAAAAGGGGGGGGGGGAGATAATTAATTCAAGAGACAATGTACCAAATGGAAAATCGATGTCTGTTTTTTTTTATGATTTGAATATTAATTCAACTTGCATTCCCTCTTTCTCCATTATTCCTTGCTTCCTTCCCTCTCTATTATCGTCTGTCTTTTTATTTTTCTTCTTTTTATTCTTATTTTCTTTCCCTTTACGTTCTTCGTAACTTCAGTTCTCCATTATTCTATTCCCTTCCCTTCTAACGTCTTTTTTTCACTTCTTCTTTCTAACCTTTCTAAATATGCAAATTATCTTTTTTTTTCTTTCTTTTTCTTATTCCCTTTCCTTTACTAACACCTGTTTTATCCTCCCTCTTTCCCCTCTTCCTGTTTACTCCCATCTCCTCTATTCGTCTCCTCTCCTCTATTCCCTCATTTCTCCTCTATTCCCTCATTTCTCCTCTATTCCCTCATTTCTCCTCTATTCTCTATCCTCCTCTTCTCCTCATCTCTAACCTCCCTATCCCCCCCTCTACCCCCCTCCCCCATTCCTCTCTATTCCCCAATTTCCAAAAAAAAAAATCCTTTCTACCTCCCCCTCTCCCCCTCTCTCCCTCTCCCCCTTCCCTCCATCCCTTCCTCCCCCCCTCCCCCTTCGCTTTCACCCCCTCCCCCCATTACTTCCCACCCCTTCCACCCTCCCCACCCTACCCTCCCCATCTACCCTACCCTCCTCACCCTCCCCACCTACTCCAAAGAAAAAGAAAAGAAAAAGAATAACCAACCCCCAATCTTAAAAAAAAGAAAAAAAAGAGAGAAAATGAAAAAAAAAAAAAAAAAAAAAAAAAAAAAAAATATATATATATATATATATATATATATATATATATATATATATATATATATATATATATATATATACATAAGATAATGATAATAAAGCACAACCAATCAACCCCTCTCCCCTCCCCTCCCCTCCCCATCTCAAAAAAGAAAATAACAACAATCATCATCATAATAATAAAAAAAACAACAACTAAAGAACTAAAAAATAATAATAATAATAATAATAAAAAAAACTAAAAAAATGAAAACAACAACCTTACCATAGAATTCTCGTTGATGGAGTCGATGCTCATGACGGTGACGTGGAAGTGAACGTTAGTGGGTCGTCCTCCTTGCTTGGGGGGGCGCATCTTGTCGTAGGTCGTGGGGTCGTCAGGCATAATGTCCTCGATGCGGAGGGTGCGTCCGGTGAGGCTCCTAGGGTGGGTGGGTGGGGGGGGGGGGGGGTAGAGGGGGGGTGGAGGTGGAGGGGGAGAGGGTGGGGGGGTAGAGGGAAGGGTTGGGAGGTAGAGGGGGGGTGGGGTAGAGTAGATGGGTGGGCGGGGAGGAAGAGGGGGGTAGAGGGAGGGGTTGGGAGTAGAGGAGGAGGAGGGGGATGGGGTGGGGTAAAGGGGAAGGTGGGGGGGAGGAAAAGGAGGTGGGTGGGGGAGGGAGGATGAGGACAGAGAAAGGGGGGGAGAGGGGGGGAAAGAGTAAGGGTAGGGGTGGGATAAGGGAGGGGGAGAGAGAGGAAGAGGGGGGAGGAGATGGGGGAGGTGGGAGGAAAGATGGAGGAGGGAGAGGGTGGAAGGGAGAAAGAGGGAGAGAGGGAACCAGGGGATGGGAGAAGGGAGAGGGGAAGGATGATGAGAGATAGGGGGAGAGGGGAGAAGGGGAAAGGGGGAGGGGGAGGGGATAAAAGATAAATAAATATACAGATTGGTCGATATAATTAATATTCAAAGTGAAAGGAAGAAAATCGGTGAATAATCAATGTGTGTGTGTGTGTGTGTGTGTGTGTTTGTTGTGCATATATATATATATATATATAGTATATATATATATAAATATATATATATAATAATATATATATATATACTTAAAAATAATGATTAATAAGCCACAACCAATCAACCTCTCCCCTCCCCCACCTCCCATCTCAAAAAAAGAATATAGCAACAATCATCTCATTATATAAAAAAAACAACAATAAAGAACTAAAAATAATAATAATAATAATAATTAAAAAAAAACTAAAAAATGAAAACATCAACCTTACCATTAGAATTCTCGTTGATGGAAGTCGAGCTCATGACGGTGACTGGAAAGGTGAACGTTTGTGGGTCGTTCCTCCTGCTTGGGGGGGGGGCGCAGGGGCGTCGCCGATTCTTTGTCGTAGGTCGTGGGGTTCGTCAGGCATAAGGGTCCTCGTTGCGGAGAGGGTGCGTCCGGTGAGGCTCCTAGGGTGGGTGTTGTGGGGGGGGGGGGGGGGGGTTGGGGTAGTGAGGGGGGGTGGAGGTGGAGGGGAGAGGGGGTGGGGGGGTTGTAGAGGGAATGGGTTGGGTGGTTAGTGGGGGGGGGGGGTAGAGTTGTTGGGTGGGCGGGGAGGTAGAGGGGGGTGGTAGAGGGAGGGTTGGGAGGTAGAGGAGGAGGAGGAGGGGGGTTGGGAGGTGGGGTTAAAGGGAAGGGGGGGGGTGGGAGGAAAAGGAGGTTTGGGTGGAGGGAGGGAGGATGAGGGACAGAGAAAAGGGGCCGGTGAGGGGGGAAAGAGTAAAGGGTAGGGTGGGATAAAGGGAGGGGGAGAGAGGAGGGGAGGGGGGGGGTAGAGGTGAGAGAGAGTGAAGAGGGTGGGAGATGGGGGGGTGGGAGGAAAGATGGTGAGGAGAGGGTGGGAAGGGGAGGAAAGAGGTGAGAGGAGGGAAACAGGGGATGGGTGAGAAGGGGAGAGGGGAAGGTTGATGAAGATTGGGGGAGTAGGGGGAGAAGAGAAGGGGAAAGGGGGAGGGGGTGGGGATAAAAGATAAATAAATATACAAGATTGTCGATATAATAATATTCAATGTGAAAGGAAGAGAATTCGAAGGAATCATGTGTGTGTGTGTGTGTGTGTGTGTGTGTAGTGTGTGCATATATATATATATATATATATATTTATATATATATTATTATATATATATTATATATATATATATATATTATATACGTATATATACATATATACATATACATATATATAAGCCTTCCAAATTATTTTTTTCTTTGCTGAAATTATAAAAACGGTTGCATCATCAAGTACTCTCGACCAGCCGCACTTAGCTGCGATAATCAGATCAAATTGCAATTTTGCAATGAGGACAAAAAAGAGAGAGAGAGAGAGAGAGAGAGAGAGAGAGAGAGAGAGAGGAGAGAGAGAGAGAGAAGAGAGAGAGAGAGAGAGAGAGAGATTAAAGCAGATACTACCGATAGTCTTTCTCTTAACTTTCGAAAGGTGTTAAGAAACACACACACACACACACACACACACACACACACACACACACACACACACACACACACACACACACACAAACACACACACACACGCAAACATGTGGTTATGTGTTTGTGCGTGTTTAGAGTGATTTTTCTGTGTTCATTTCATATATGTTATTTGTGTATGTGAGTGTGTGTTTGCATGTGTATGTATGTGTAACTGTACGTAATCGCGTGTGTCTGTTTGTATATGTATATCCAGTATATTTCTTTGTATTTCTATTTATTTTCTGTTTTGACGTATGCTATATGACATAAACGGTAATATTTCAAGTAATATTGTAACCTTTTAAATACACAGGAAAATCACGAAAAACAAGAACATGGAATTAAGTGAGGAAGAAAGGTAAAGGATAATGAAGAAGAACACGAAGGAGAAGAAGAAGGAGGAGAAGAAGATAAAGAGAGAGAAAAATGGAAAAAAAGGAAAATGCAGAATAAAAAGAAAATAAAAAGAAGAAGAGGTTTAAGAAGAAGAAGAAGCTCAAAAAGTTCAAACAAAAGAAAAAGAAGAAGAAGAAGTAGACGAAGAAGAAGAAGAAGAAGGAAAAGAAGAAGAAAGGGATCAAGAAGAAGGTGGAGAAGAGGAAGGAGAAGATCAATAAAACGAAAGAAGAAGAAGAAGAACAAGAACAAGTAAAACAAGAAAGAAAAAGAAAAAGAAAAAGGAGAAGAAAGAACAAAGGAAGGAGATAGGAAGACGGGGGAAGGAAGAAAGGTCAGAAGGTCAAAGGAAGGTCAGAATTGGAGATAGGAATGTGTCTGGTGGCCGCGTGTGCGTTTGTTTGTTTGTTTGTTCGTGAAGTTTGTGTATGTTTGTGTTTGTGTGTGTGTGCGAGTGTGGGGGTTTGTTTGTGAATGTGTGTGTTTGTATGTGTGGGTGTTTATGTTTGTTTGTTTATGTGAGTGTGTGTGTGTGTATGTATGTATCCCTGTGTTTGTTTGTTTGTGTTTAATTGTATCTGTTTTTTGTTTGTTTGTGTATGTGTTTGTGTCTGGGTATGTGTGTGTGTTTATGTGCGAGTTTGTGCGTTTGTGTCTTCATTGCACGTGTGTTTGTGTGTTAGTGTGAGTGTGTGTGTTTGTGTGTGTCTGTATATTATCGTATACATGTGCACATGCGTGAGCGTATACCACATCCACTCGTCTGTGTATAAACCGTAGTTCCGCACGCAATTTCCCGCGCGTGCATCTGCGTGTTGTCAGTCATGTCACGGTGGAATCTACCCCTTCTCCCCTCCCCCTCCCCCTCCCCCCCATTCTCCCCTACTCCTTCCCATCCGCCCCCCCCCTACCTCCCGTCTCCTCTCTAATAACCCCCCCCCCCTCTCCTTCCCTCTCTGTCTTTCTCCCCATTCCAGTGTCCTTTATTCCCTCTCCTTCTTCCACCCCTTCTCTCTCCCCTCTTTCTCGCCCCCCTCCCCCCCCCCACTAATCATCATCGGAACTTAATGTGCGATCATGAACACCTCACCTCAACCCCCCCCCCCCACTCCTATTTCCCCTTCATCCCCCTCCCCCCCTCCCACCTATGCCTCCGCTAACCCCCCTCCCCTCCCCCTCTGTTATCTCCCCTTTAACCCCCTTATTCCTCTCCCCCCCCAACCCCCTTCCCATGCCCTCCTCCCCCCCCCAATGCCTCTCCCCCCCCCCCCCCCAATTCCTTCCCCTCCTGCCCTACCCCTCCCCCCTCCCCCTTCTTTCTGTGGGGTCGATCTATTTATAGCTTTGTGTCTTCGATCCCATTAATTCCTGGCGGGAATCAACTGGCCTCTTGACCAGGCTGCCTCCGCCTCACGCACACGCACACGCACACGCACACGCACACGCACAGGTCCAACCTCGTTACCTCTCTCTCTCTCTCTTTCTATTTCGCTCTCGTCACCTGTCTCTCTGTCTCTGTCTCTCATTCTCTCTCTCTATTTCTTTCTTTCTCTCTCTCTCTCTCTCTCATTCTCTCTTTTCTCTCTCTCTCTCTCTCTCTCTCTCTCTCTCTCTCTCTCTCATTCTCTCTCTCTCTCTCTCTCTCTCTCTCTCTCTCTCTCTCTCTCTCTCTCTCTCATTCTCTCTTTCTCTCTCTCTCTCTCTCTCATTCTCTCTCTCTCTCTCTCTCTCTCTCTCTCTCTCTCTCTCTCTCTCTCTCTCTCTCTCTCTCTCTCCACTTTCCCACTTTCGCTTTATCTCTGTCTCTTCCTCTGATTGTGCCTCTGTCACTGTCCCGCCCCCTCTTTGTCTATGTGTCTGTTTCTCTCTCCCCCCCCCCTCTCTCACTGTCTGGCTGGCTCTATCTCTCTCTCCTCTCTCTCACTGTCTATCTGTCTGTCTGTCAGTCTCTCTCTCTCTCTCTCAGTGTCTATCTGTTTCTCTTTCTATCTCTCTCTCTCTCTCCTCTTTCTCTCGCTATCTCCTTCTCCCTCTCTCTCTCTCTCTCTCTCTCTCAGTGTCTATCTGTTTCTCTTTCTCTCGCTCTCTCTCTCTCCTCTTTCTCTCGCTATCTCCTTCTCCCTCTCTCTCTCTCTCTCTCCTCTTTCTCTCGCTATCTCCTTCTCCCTCTCTCTCTCTCTCGCTCTCTCCTTCTCCCTCTCTCTCTCTCTCTCTCTCTCTCTCTCTCTCTCTCTCTCTCTCTCTCTCTCTTTCTCTCTCTCTCTCCCTCCTTCTCTCTCCCTCTTCCTTCCTCTCCTTTAAGTTCCTCGCTCTGTCTGACCTTTTCTTCCCCCATCGGTCACTGAATTTCCTGCTTTTTCAGCCG